TTAAATAAAAACTTCACCATTCTTATTTAAAATTCTAAATTACTAAAAACTTTTTGTGGGATTGATCTTGGACTTAAACCGAGAAAACTACAATTCGACCACTTATACTTTGGTGTATAATATAAATCCGATCACAAAATTGTTCGAATCACTCGTAACATGGAATTTGCTTATATTAACCCTAGAATTGGTGGTATTTTTTATACTCGTTTTGGCTTTTGATTTTATGTCACTGTGTTGGCAACTTTACTTAAAAAATTTGGTGCTTCAAAAAAAATATTCGTTGGTCAAGTTTTATTACTTATAAAAATAAATAAATTGCCCATTCAAATTTATAAAGAACTACAATTCTTCCTCAATTTATGTTCATTTGTAAACTTTAAAATTTTGCTCTGCTTTACCTTCCCTTCCCCCTAAACCAATTGTTGGACCAAAACAGTTTTTTAAGTGTAAAAACTGATTTTTTGGTCGATTTTGAACCTAAATTCAAGTGGGAACCATTTGTTATTTTGAATAAATTTTCATGGGTTCATATTCGACTCCGTGAGGAGAATAACGTGGTATATTCACTTGCTCAAATCGAATAAGAAATGAATGAGAAAATAGGCTTCAAAATGACCCTCTTGAATTGTGAAAATAAAAGTAGTGCAATGTGGAATTTGACACCAATCCCACATTGGTTGAAGAAGAAATTCAACATGAACATATATAGGCCAAGTTTGCTCTATGGGATTGAGCCCCAAGGGGTACCACAATTTTATGAGCGGAGCGAGCGCCTATATGCCTTTGGTTTGACTACACACGCGCGTCGCCCGACTAGGCCGAGCACGGGCTCGGGTGCGGGTTGGACCAAGCCCTATATTTTTGGAGAAAATTCGTGTAATTAATTGAGCGAGAATTTCTTAACTCGAAATTTATTTTTGGTATCCATTGGATCGCACTGAGTCAGATATTTGCATCCTTCCAGTTCGAAAATTTAGACTGTGTCTGTTCATTTAGAACAGTTAAAACAATGGTGTCTACTGGTTTGCATTTGTCTTCATGGGTTGTGTCCTTTAGTGTGATGACTGTTCGAAAAGTCACCATAGGTGTCTATAAATACCTAGGTTCATTAGCATTATGGATTAATTCATTACAATTATTAGTATCAATCATACACATAGTTAAGTCAGACATTAGTGCATAACATTATCGGCATTAAGAAGTATGCATTTGGAGAGTACACAACACAAGTTTGGTTCACTGAACGAGTAGATTGGAGTGCTACATCTGCTTGTGTAAAGATCATTGTATTCTGAGAGGCAGACGCTCGATATTCTAAAAGTACTGTATATGAAGGCAAAATCCGTCTTAAGGACATAGTGTCAAACACTAGCGTTGATCTACATCAACTTCAATAACAGTTCATGTTCTGCAACCAGGTTAATATTTATTTTGGTTTAACAAACAGTTATACGTAACTGTCTACTGTTACAATTTCATAACACTACTGTAACTCTTTCGTGTAAGATTGATTCTGTGTAACTCTTTTGTGTAATTCTTTCCTTACTGTTTTGTTATACATTACAAGTTTCAAATCATAAATTTCAATTAGTGATTTTACAATTTTGGAACACCAAAAACAACACCAATCACGATATTTGCGAATGATTTAGTGAGTTCGATCTACTTTGCATAATATTAGGACCGGTATTTAAGAATGATTGAGTGAGCTCGGTATACTTTGCATAATGTTAGGGTCCTAATAGTTGAGGTATTAATTGATAGGAACAAATCGAAGGTAAATTATGAGGGGTACAAAAATTTCTATTGGAATTGGTGAGTCAAATTTTTCAAATTTTCGTAGCAATTTTGGGAGGTTCAGATCTTCATTGCCCTTTTGTTTGTCATTCTATTAGCAATCTTGTTAGATTGCTTTCTTGAGATACGTGCTAACCAGTTTATGTACTTAATATGTTGATTCTTTAATATTGTGTCTTCTAAAACATCTTAATGAGGCGGTCTAACATTTCTCATTTAATTCAATTCAAGTGGTCTTATGTTCCTATGATGACACCATGCAGCTAGTGTTTCCCGTAGTTTTTTGTCATCTTTAATTAGCAATTTTTCTCTCGCATTATGCACTATCTACAAGGAGATTTTCACGCTTCTAATTAGGATAAATTTAAAAAACAGTGATACACGTATATAATATAAATATTTTAATTTTCATATAATCAAACAGTATAGTTCACGTGCAACACACACGTATAAACTAATTAATAATGATGACACTATCTCATAAAACACTTAAAAAATAATGTCAACCTCAATTTTTTTTACACTGGATAGTTATTATCCTACACAGATGTTTCTTTGATATTAACGTAGTATATTATATAACCATTACAGAAGACATTTCTCCACTTTTTATTAGGACATGCGTGGATAGCGTGTGAACACATCGTTCAATTTCTCAAATAATAAATTACATATAAATGAATTTTACTCGGATTCGTACACAATAAGTGATTTATTATAAAATAAAATTAAACAATATATTAAGAAAAAAAATCTCAATGCAATGAATAAAGAAAGTGGCAAGCAATCCCAAATAGATAATTCAAGTGATAAAATGAACAAATTATAAACTTAGACGTTATGAATTTTAATTATAATAATTTTTTAGACAAATCATGAGGGATAAAATATAAATATTTTAGTTTCGACGTGAATAACTTATCTCTGATCGAATTAAAAAAAAATTAATTCAAATATACATAAATTAATTCAATTACCGGCTAACGTAAATATAAAAAACAAAATAAATAAATAAAGAGTGTCGTGGTGGTGGTCCCCGTGTACCACCATCTGCACAGAGACAGCATTTGAGTTGCCCCTTAAAGGGTGCGCATAAATTGTTTTTGTCCCTTCTGACACAAAAGGCTATAGGCTATAGTTATTAAACCCACCTCGAAAACCAAGTTGACGAAGAGATAAGGCCAATGAATTTTGAAAGGAGCAATGTCATGTGCACAAAACACGTGTATATGCGGTTAATAGATTAATGGGTTGTATGATTGATATAATAACTTTAATTGATTTAATATAAATTTTAGTGTACAAATTTAATGTACATAAAATTAAAAAATAATTTTATTTAAATTTAAAAAATTAAATTTTCCTCTCAATAAAATTAATTTATAACAATGTAGCCCTAATCAAAACATTCGTTGTGATTTCTATTAGACTCACATGCACATGAAAAATGGAAGTTTGTCCTAATTTAACAAAAGTCTTCTTCGCGTACATTTAACATAGCTGTCAATTTGAAAAAAAAAATGGCAATGAGCCAAGGCTGACACAAGGTATAAGTAATTAAGGCCACTGCCTACGGGCCCAAATAAATTACAAAAAATTAGGGCCCTTATAATTTGTGGATGAGAATTCAAATCTCCGTTTCCATACCCATTAAACTATAAAATCATAAAATTATTAATTTTACTCCATTTATATCCTCCCCCCCCCCCCAATAACTAAGTATGCCACATTTTATTACTCATTTCATTAATAACTAAGTTCATTTTAATATTTACTTATTGGGTTTCTTTTTGTACTCATCTCACAAAGTCTATACAAAATATATTCAACTAGATTATCTATTCAAACTGAATAAACAATTTATGTATAAACTATGTGATTCAAGGAAAGAGACTTGATAATCTTTTTATCTTTTCCTATTTAGGAAATTTGGTTTTAGATGCGATTTTCAATGAAGACTCTAAGAGATTTTTTTTATGTATATTAAGAAGTTGCATGTGAATAAGATATTTTTCTTAGCAAATGCTTTCAATTGGCAATTAATTAAGAAATAAAGAGAAATGCATAGTAGAATTAGAGTATTATTCTGACAATGAGATCGAAGAAGATAAAAATCGGATGGCGACCATTGAAACAATTTGCATGAAAAAAAAAATTCAGAGTGGAATCGAGATGAGTTATACTTTGTGTATAGACTATGTGAGATGAGTATAGAAAGTAACCCTAAAGATAAAGATTGAGATGAATTTTAATTTTAATGGAGTAAGTATAGAATAGGGTGAACATATGTAATTACTAGTTGGCTGGGTTACAATGGGTGAACTAAGTAATTTTATTATTTATAATTTCATAGAATGAGAATAAAGATCTGTGTGGGTGATAAGAGTCTCACTCATAATTTTTTAAGACCCCTAATTTTAAGTAAACTAGACAATTTTATGTACAATATTTTGAGTTTGAATATAATCTTAGTACATTTGGGTGATAAAATAGATAAACTTGTATTATTAGACCCCTTAAATAAAGGAGTTGACACGAACCTCGACTACACAAAACATAAATTTGCTAAACAAGTATTTCGGTACAAATCCAAATATGTAAAGATTATATAATGGACGAAGATCTATTTAGCGAAGTCGATCACAACTTAACATTCAAAATTATTATTGACATTTGTTCTTTAAAAATAATTTTGCTCCAATAGTAAATATTAATTCCTTTTTTTTTCACTTAATTTTGTTTTAAAATTTAAATTTAACTTCAATTAATGAATTTTTTGTACACAAAACTTGAATGCAAAAATTGAATTAATATTTTTACATCTAAAAAACAAAAAATCGCCTAAGGCCTGATCTAATAATAATTTAGTTGTACTGTGTATTATTGTATTATATAATAGTGGTGTCTCATCGCCTAAGACCCTAGGACCCTATCGATGTCGTGCTGACCCTGCGATGGACATTGGGATTAAGGTTACATTGTTATTAATTAATTTTATTAAGAAAATAATTTAAAATTATTAATCTTTTAATATACAATTTAATTTATTTTTAATCTTTAAAAGTAGAAACTACTATTTTGCCTTATTCTTAATCATGAAATGTATGATAAATGAACAGGAAATTATGCGAATTACATGATAATTTTTTTTTACAAAAAGAACAAAAAATAAGTAACTAATACAAAAGACNTCTTAATCATGAAATGTATGATAAATGAACAGGAAATTATGCGAATTACATGATAACTTTTTTTTACAAAAAGAACAAAAAATAAGTAACTAATACAAAAGTCAAAATCCAAGATAAATCTTGTAACAGAAACTAAAAACCACCTCCTAAAAGTGAAAACGGATAAGGCGGCAGTGGGCTGGCATCCACCTCAGCCGCCGCCGCCACTCCAAAGGTGCCTACATCTCCACCACTTGAGTTCTCATACCCAGCGGCGGCAGTATCCATTGTCGGCGAATCCGCCGTGAAACCACCGATTCCGATTGAAGAACCCGGCGACAATGAACTAGAACTGCTAGTGGTGGCGCAACTATACTGTTCTTGGGTAATCATAGGCCGACCAATCACTAAACTTTGGCTCAACCACGCCGTGGACGGTGTCTCCGGCGACGGCGATGACTGATAGAAAACACCCATATCAAAATTTGCCTCCGGCGATGAAATTGATGCTCCTCCATGTAAGGCGGTGCTAATAGCTTCTTCCGCTTCACTCTTGACTGAAATAGTCGCCGGCGGCGGCATTTCCGATGAAGAGAGTGATGAAGGTATCATCAAGCGTCTCTTCTTCTCTCTCATAAACCTTCTGGTTCTCTCTCTCCGGAGCATCATTGCTTTGAATATATCTGGGTCTTCCGCAACTTTACGCAAAAAAGCCATCATCTGTTGCGGTCTTCTCTCTGTTGCCTCTAATCTCTTGTTCATGCTTTCAAGTTCTTGATCCAAACCCTTCTGTTCTTGCTTTAATCTCTCTATCTCCATCAATATCCCCTCATCTTCCTCATCTTCATGCTTGTGGTGGACAGAATTATTGTGCCTACCGTGCTTCTTCCTGACAATGTTCTTCAGTAAATGGGTCTGTCCACGAAGAAACCATTCATTTGCGAACTCCCACCTATCCGGATCAACCTTTTTAAAACCCTAGATTCACGATAAAACAATAAAATTGCAGAAATTAACAAAGATATGTTTCTTAGTAAGGTTAAAATTTTATTTAAACAGAAACGAAACATTTTGATCATTTCAAAAATATTTTGAAAAAGAGGATAAAAGCATAAACAAATTAGAAACATCAATCGAAAAATTACCCAGATATAAAAGAAGATCCAATCCAAGAAGATATAGAAATATCCCAAAACACTACCAAATATTCCAAAATCCTTTAAAACATAAAAATTTCGATATTCATTTGTTTCGATTTTTATGAATTCTAAAACGTTTCGTTTGTTTTTAGTAAAAAGCGCAACATCATCATATGCATATATGTTTTTTGTATACTCAAATACTTACATAGGTGTTGAGCTGACGAACAAAGCTTGAAAAATTGTTGTGCTTGAAGTGTTCGGGTAAAGTCCTCTGAGAGAAATCTAGTGGGTCAACGACGATGAAGCTGTTGTTGGCTCTGCCCCAAGTGATGAGACCGTCTGTCATCGGATCACTCACCATTTGATAAGTTTTCAGGATGAACGGTGCTACTGTATTGGTGGTCTCCATCCCATATACACCATGAAGCGAAATTTTCTCAATTTCTCTCTCTCTCTCTAGAGACGAGCTGAAGGAGCTCTGGTGCTCTGAATTAGTTGTGAGTGCTTGGAGGTGAGTGGGAAAATTTGCATCCACTCAATTATGGTAGTGAAGCAACACCATTTTATATGCATATAATAGAGCGACAACTTGCTGAAAGAAAAAAATTAGAGGGACAAATGACAGTTTCTCCCCCTGAAGATTTTAAACATTGTATTTTATCCTTTTTTAAATTTTAGAAATCTCATATTACATTCTAGATTGTTAAAAGTTGCTACAATGCACCCCATTTAGGAAACAAAGTCTTATTTTTTATATGTTCATATTTCACCTACCATAGTCCATATACATTATCTTAAAGATTTAATTTGTTTTTTAACTCTTCATTTGTCTTTGATAGCAACAACAAATTCCGATTCGTAAATGATATTATGGTTTTTTCTTAACAAATAGGAAACAAAAATTTTTTAAGTGAGCGATCATTAAAAAAGTGCGTGGTGGAATGTGAAACTTTTTATTTTAGGAAGGGTAAATGTAACTTCTAAAAACTTTAAGGGACACAAAATGGTATTTATCTTATAATAATACTGGAAAGTCGCATTAGGGTACCAAGTGGCAACACGATAGTACAAGAGGTGGTCACACTCAGTAACAAGTGGCAACATGGAGATCACAGGTGGGACCAAATTGGCCTCGCTTTTATCTTTTTATCATCTTCTTCTGATGGATTACACGCCACGGCCAGGATCTTTAGATATTTTCCCAAGCTCGTATTGCTCTTAGCAGGCGCGGACAAAGCGCGTGGGATATCATTTTCTCTTTAATAATATTAGACTGAAAAACAAATGGCAACTAAAGATAAGAATGAAATGATCTAGCTTAGTGTCAAACGCATCGGATTGGATTATTTCGTATTGGAATGATTTTGAATTTGTGTCAAAAATTTTAAAATCTGAACTTGACTTCTTTAATAATCGTATCGAAATGTGTAAACAATAACTTAACTTGGTCATTAAATGAATTATCCAAATTCGATCTATTTGATACGTTTAATAAATAGGTCGTTTTTCGAATTAACACATACAATATAATTTGTTTAATACACAAAATACAAACCTATTTAACACACATAACGTATTTGCACACTTGTTTATTATCATTAAATGCATCATTTAATCATTCATNTTAGATATTTTCCCAAGCTCGTATTGCTCTTAGCAGGCGCGGACAAAGCGCGTGGGGTATCATTTTCTCTTTAATAATATTAGACTGAATAACAAATGGCAACTAAAGATAAGAATGAAATGATCTAGCTTAGTGTCAAACACATCGGATTGGATTATTTCGTATTGGAATGATTTTGAATTTGTGTCAAAAATTTTAAAATCTGAACTTGACTCGTCTAATAATCGTATCGAAATGTGTAAACAATAACTTAACTTGGTCATTAAATAAATTATCCAAATTCGATCTATTTGATACGTTTAATAAATAGGTCGTTTTTCGGATTAACACATACAATATAATTTATTTAATACACAAAATACAAACCTATTTAACACACATAATGTATTTTCACACTTGTTTATTATCATTAAATGCATCATTTAATCATTCATCCAAAAATTTAAATAATTTTTTCACAAATAACATATCACATCTCATTGATGAAATTAACTAAAATACATTTTAGTTTTAACCCAAAAATTAAAACAAGAACTATAATAATATATTCTCATAATAATGTTAAGAATTAGACTGTCAATTATTATAATAGAAGAAAAAACAAATACACAATCATACATAATTGACAAACTATACTATCATAAACATATTAAACGGGTCTATAATGGGTTAGGTCGGATTTGTGTCTAAATCATGTCAAACTGTTTAAAATAAACAAGTTAAACAAGTCAAAATCGGGTTGACCTGATTTTGACATGAACCTGACATAATTTTTTTCGTGTTTAAGCTTGTTAACCCGCTTTAACTCATTGATTCGTTTAATTTTGTATTTGACCCATTAATTTTGTATTTAANGTCTATAATGGGTTAGGTCGGATTTGTGTCTAAATCATGTCAAACTGTTTAAAATATACAAGTTAAACAAGTCAAAATCGGGTTGACCTGATTTTGACAGGAACCTGACATAATTTTTTTTCGTGTTTAAGCTTGTTAACCCGCTTTAACTCATTGATTCGTTTAATTTTGTATTCGACCCATTAATTTTGCATTTGATTTGTATTGTGTTAACGTGTCATATCGAATATTGACAGCCCTAGATATAACATCGTAATGGTATCATTGGTGAGTTTGCTTTCTAATTCAATAAGAATATGAGGATCATCTAATTTATTTTTGAATAATTAAAACTAATGATATTCCGTAGGTCAAAAATATTAATTTTCTATAATGTACGTAAGTAAAATATATCAATTATGAAAGTAATTTATTATATATACTATTTTAAAATGTCAATAAAAATGAAAAAAAATTTGATTGACTATAATACCTTTGACAAAACACATAATACCCATAGTATCCATTAACTATTTATTACGTTCAATAAATATCCCAAGTACATTAAATAGATAAATTGCTTGGAATTTATTTTCAGAGGGATCTATGGGTAAGACATCAATGCATTTTCAGTGAACTGCCTCGTGATCTACTTATCATTGTCTAATAAATGTTGAATGTTTTAATAAATTGTGTCTTGATGGAAGAGGCATATGTATTTGTGTTTTGCAATTTGCTGCTAAATTTGATTGTCTAAACTTATCATTGTCTAAATTAGAGGGAAGATACATGAACTCCTTACAATTTGCACTTTGTTTTTAAATTCGAGATGATTTAGTGTAAATGCTTGAAGTTGAGGGAGATTACATAGAATTATTCTCAAGTACAAAGAAGTTTTGTGTAATTACCCAGAAAACCTTCATTGTGCAAATCAAATGTCGCCACACTTGTCCATGAAATTGACATTGAGAATCACATTTAGAGTCTTGAATTCAATTGTGTGTATATACTCTTTTTTTTTTTTTTTCTGGAATTGGAATCTCATGCTAAATCTGATATTGACTATTTATTATTTAAAGAGGATCTATAACTTATAAGGTGAGAAGTATTGTGATTGTGAATAACACCAATAAAGATTACGAAGTGAAAATAATAATAATTAAAGATAAGAAAAGTGAAAGTGCGAAACTTAATAAAGATTATGTCGGGTAGCGTGCATACCCAATAAAAAAATTAGCACAATGGTAACTTGTAACACATACAAGTTAATTTTTTCAAAATTTTTCTGACAATTTTTCGAGCAAAAATAATCTATATCTACGCTAGTATAAAATATCAACAAAAGTAAAAAATTTTAAATCAACCATAATATCCCTATAAAAAAGATTAGAGACAGTACAATTCTCATGATAAAGGCTGTTCATGGGCTCGATGTAGACAGTTCACTTGTTGAAACACTTTCACAACTTTTGGTCTTCCCCCTCCCTCGTAAATCCCCTATCACTTTCAAGCTTTTGGATCTTCTGAAGTTTCACCTTTACAGTTAAATAATGCTATAAATTAATCACTAATTTAATAAAACTTCCATTTTAATTAAGACCTTACAAATTCTAAAATTAAATATCCAATCAACAGCTGATATATCCATCAGCCGATCAGTTCTAAATTAGATTCATGTGTTTCTATCTATTTCATAGTATGTGTTCTTTCCTAGATGTCTGATGCACAAAATGCAATAAAACTCCTTATAGACTCTTTTAACTCTTTCTCTCCCTCCTTTACAAAGTATGTCTTACTATATATGTGCATGTGCATGTGCATGTGCATGTTTTTTTTTATTAATCACACTTAATTACTTACTTTAATAGAGTAAAAGACCAAGCGGAGACTTATAAACACACTCACACACCCGAAACTATCCGATATGAGATAACTCAGTCCCCCACCTCCCCGATGTGCACGTGCATGTGCATGTTGTGTGTGTATTTCTTGTGTGTAGTCTGATAGTGAAAAAGGTGCAACATCCAAAACTGATATACTGACTACGATAGTAAAGATTTGATGACGAAGAAAAGAATCAATGGTGAGGTGTGACCAGAATTTGCAAATAGAGTTGCAAACAAAACTGTCAACAATGGCTTCTTTGTCTGCTGTCGCTTCAAGCTCCACATAATTCATCAAGAATGTTTTGTTATCAATTTATCATAAATCCTGTATTTTCTTAAATTTTCTTTTTCCCTTTGCTTGGCAATGGCATTCTAGCTATCCTCTCTCCTATATTTGTAACTTGGTTAGCCAGATTGCTAAAGATATAGAAGATGTCTACCTCACTAAGTTCACCTCGAAAGGAGGCAAAATTACAAAATCAAATTTATAATCTTCTCTGAGGGAGACCGAGATCTTTCGCCAAAAGCCCAATACCTTACATTTTAAGAAAGTACGAAGCATATGTTTTGAGCGGCTATATATTGAAAAGGCACTCAAACAATTTCATGTCATTTAAATTTTTAACAAAGTTTTCCTTCAAATTTTAACTCAAAGGCCAAAATAGATCCGATAAGTATTACTTCTGATGTTTGAATTATTTTAAAGATCAAAATTTTATTTCAAAGCGGTCGAAATAGCCAAAATATTTATTTTCTCAAGAAAACCAAAATGAATCGGTGAATTTGAGGTGTTTCAAATTGTTTCGTGATGTTTTGAGGTGTCTCAAGATTTTTCAATGTATTTCAAGATATTTTAATAGTATTTTTTTAAAAAAAAAATTTATCTATTTTCATTATGTTTTTAAAATATCAATCAATACATCAATCACCAAGTGGAATTAAATGCTTCCATATTCCATAGTCTAGCTTCTTTCTCCCTCTCTCTACCTAACTCTCAGAGTTACGTATGTGAAACCAATGAGCTATTTCAACAGGTATCAAAGGGTTGTTTATAATATTTTACTTGGGATCTGAATGATTTTATTGGTTGACAGTGTGTTTCTGGTCATATCTTTTGAATTTCAATTTTCAATTTACTTGTTTAAAGCAAGATTATGTTAATTTATCACTTGAATTCTATGTC